AATCATAAATCAAACTTTCACTTTTTAATACTTGGTTACAAATCCTTTGCAGTCAATTACAGCCTGAAGTCTGGAACGCATAGACATCACCAGACGCTGGGTTTCATCCCTGGTGAGGCTCTGCCAGGCCTCTACTGCAACTGTCTTCAGTTCCTGCTTGTTCTTGGGGCATTTTCCCTTCAGTTTTGTCTTCAGCAAGTGAAATGCATGCTCAATCGGATTCAGGTCAGGTGATTGACTTGGCCATTGCATAACATTCCACTTCTTTCCCTTAAAAAAACTCTTTGGTTGCTTTTGCAGTATGCTTTGGGTCATTGTCCATCTGCACTGTGAAGCGGCGTCCAATGAGTTGTGAAGCATTTGGCTGAATATGAGCAGATAATATTGCCCGAAACACTTCAGAATTCATCCTGCTGCTTTTGTCAGCAGTCACATCATCAATAAATACAAGAAAACCAGTTCCATTGGCAGCCATACATGCTCACGCCATGACACTACCACCACCATGCTTCACTGATGAGGTGGTATGGTTAGGATCATGAGCAGTTCCTTTCCTTCTCCATACTCTTCTCTTCCCATCACTCTGGTACAAGTTGATCTTGGTCTCATCTGTCCATAGGATGTTGTTCCAGAACTGTGAAGGCTTTTTTAGATGTGGTTTGGCAAACTCTAATCTGGCCTTCCTGTTTTTGAGGCTCACCCAATGGTTTCCATCTTGTGGTGAACCCTCTGTATTCACTCTGGTGAAGTCTTCTCTTGATTGTTGACTTTGACACACATACACCTACCTCCCGGAGAGTGTTCTTGATCTGGCCAACTGTTGTGAAGGGTGTTTTCTTCACCAGGGAAAGAATTCTTCGGTCATCCACCACAGTTGTTTTCCGTGGTCTTCCGCGTCTTTTGGTGTTGCTGAGCTCACCGGTGCGTTCCTTCTTTTTAAGAATGTTCCAAACAGTTGTTTTGGCCACACCTAATGTTTTTGCTATCTCTCTGATGGGTTGGTTTTGTTTTTTCAGCCTAATGATGGCTTGCTTCACTGATAGTGACAGCTCTTTGGATCTCATCTTGAGAGTTGACCGCAACAGATTCCAAATGCAAATAGCACACTTGAAATTAACTCTGGACCTTTTATCTGCTCATTGTAATTGGGATAATGAGGGAATAACACACACCTGGCCATGGAACAGATGAGAAGACAATTGTCCCATTACTTTTGGTCCCTTAAGAAGTGGGAGGCACATATGCAAACTGTTGTATTTCCTACACCGTTCATCTGATTTGGATGTAAATACCCTCAAATTAAAGCTGCCAGTCTGCAGTTAAAACACATCTTGTTCGTTTCATTTCAAATCCATTGTGGTGGTGTATAGAGCCAAAAATGTTAGAAGTGTGTCGATGTCCCAATATTTATGGACCTGACTGTATACGCTATTTCTATAAGTTTTATAAATATTTACTTTATACTTTAATACATATGTTGTGTGAATATTTTCTGCCTGCTGGGCTTTGTGGTACTATAAGAAATCCTTGTCACCAATGTCACCTGTGCCTTTTCTCTCCAAAGTCTCACTCCATCTTCCTTGACTTCCAGGCTGGGTCCCTACGGTGCCCCATGCTCAAGTTGTGTTCCGGTCGCTAGGGAAGGAGGCTGAGCACACAAGTTACTTCACCACCAGGACCCCCCATCACCTATGCCATGTCACCACCGTTCCCTACCGGCTGGCTGCTTGTACACATAAACAATAGTACTGTAGTCATTGGTAGCTTCACTTTAGACATATGTACTAAATCTTCTCTATCCTGTCTTATCCCTTGGTGTGAACCATGTTCTATGATATGCCAAGCATGCATGCACCCCTTTAAGATTGTCATGGAGTGACTTCATATCAGGCCAAAATGAATGTAACAACAAAGTTCCTTACTAAATGCTGTTTAAGTACAATAAATGTACAGGCAGTTCTTCATACACATGTTTTCTACTACAAAATACTTCTTTGTATCCACTAGGTGTTTACCTGGTGCCCCCACCCCATGAGGTAGTCATACCTTAAATAGGTGAGAAAGTCCTTTTAGAGTCCATTGGTCTATTAGGTAATGGCATAAGTCCATATCCCTGGAACTTCAACTGGGTTTCCACAAGGGTTGGCTTCAGTAGAAGTGTCAATTACATCTTAGCTTAGCTCCTGTTCTCTTCCCAGGTATAGAGCAATTAAAGACAACTCTACCCTAGGGGCATTTCCCCTTCTAACTTTGCCCCAGCTGAGGGCAGTACTTCCCATAAAGCCTGTTAAAACCTGGCCAGCAGTGTTAATCCGTTCTTCTCAGGACTTATCAACTCTGTAGGGCAACATAACTAAACAGTGCAATTAACCCACATTGAAAATACAAGAGTTTAACCAACACATATTAACTTAGAAACAAAACAGTTATGATAACCTTACATTACTTTAGAAACACCTGCTTACACTCTTTTCTCCCCTTAGGGTTAATCCATCCCCAGATCAACTACTCACTATCAGAAGCAGCTAACATAATATCAGAAATTTAGCATGTGCAAAATAAAACCTTTATTTGTACAAAAAGGCATCCATAAATACAAGGTATCAAAGTGCAATATCTTGATGGCAATTTTCCCAATTAGGTATCAGCATACATGATAAACGTAAGCATGAGCATTTAAAATCACATTCTCAGACATAATAAGCTGGATATGGAAATCTTATCCAATCACCCATGACTGGGTGCCTTCCTCTAGTTGGGACATTTGTGAACCATTTGCCGGCGCTAGAAAAGCATCTGGCATGCGGCAACAGTTCCCATAATGTCAGTGCACCTCCATACAGAAACATTGCTGTCCCAGTGCCGACACTGAGTATACCAAACAGTCCTCAGTGATGATATGGTAAAAGTCTCATCCTTGCTACTGTCCATGGCCAAAGACTGCTCTTCTCAAGAACTGGGTGACAATTTAGTTGAGGTAGATATGACCTCTGTAGGGTCCTACACTGGAGGGTCCTCCAATAGCAAGTGAGCATCTTGCACCCCAGAGATGGCGGAGTCATCTGGCTAGGATTCAGGCTCAGCAAGCAGCAGGTAGATGGCTTGACAGCGGTTCCTTCTGTGGGTACAGAGGTGGGCTCTATTACATCCTCATCCAGAGATGGGGTAGGGACAGTGAAAAAAGTATTGTTTTTGATTTTGTTGTTTCCTCAGAGGGCTCCCTCTGTGCTGTCTCAACCCCAACCCAGATGGGGAAAGCAAGGAGTGATCCCTCTGGTTCGGCAGGCATGGGTCCTGGGGTACCTGCTGTAGACTTGAGAAGATGCAACAATCCTTTTCAGTAGGAAAGACATGACAAGAAGAACAGTGAATAAAGGCAGTCCATCCACCTCCCAAATTTCAGGTACACTGGTTAAGCCCTGCTCACACACCTTAAATACTCAGCAGCATATAGAATATTTGTCCTCCATAGATTGTGCTACCCAAGGTGTTTCCATGGTTCGTCTGGGAGCAGCTTTGGCAGATTGTCCAGAGAGTGTGACTTACCTGTTTCAAAAACCACATAGCGCACCTCCATAATCTGGCAATTAACTCCCTCGAAGATGATGCTAGGAGATCTGTACTCATATTGCCAAATGCTGAATGGACCACTCTGGCACAACTTGTGGTCCATTTAGAGAGTCAATATGGTGAGGCCACCCCTGTAGCTTATGCAGCAAATAATTTTTTGATGCCAAGAAGATAATGAGACCATATCCCAAATTACAGTGGCAATTCAGGATGTGGCAATGGCTAGAAGAAAAAGACCAATAAGGCGATGCTACTATTGACACTCCAGATCAAGTGATGCAATTTATCTTGGGGATCTGAGATGGCTTCCTGAAAAGCACTGTGAAAGACCGTGTGAGAGCTGATGCAACATTAAAACGTAATGCTATCCTACTAGAAGCAGTAGATTGACAACAGGAAGAGACAGAAGCCAGAATGGCGGCTATTAATTGAGACGTAAGGTCATTGTTTCAATCAAGCACAAATTATCTGGTTCAGGCATGAGTGCCCTGCAAAAGTTTTAAGATGACTACTACAATAAGCTACAGTATGTCTAGTAATATACCCAAGGGATCAAAGGGAACAGACCTATCTCTAAAATCTGATCAGTACTTACCAGGCCCAACAGATGCAGAATACCCAGCAACAGCAAAGATGGGGGTGGTGTCATTGCCACCATACCATAGACTAAAGATATACCTCAACATGAGTTAGCTTATCCACTCCCTGTGGGGGATATGAAAAAATTAAAAGGATCCCCAGAGTGATCTGAAGGTAATTTGAAAATGACTGGTAGGGTTCTACTAGCACTTCATTCACAATTTTGCCCAGCTTGCTGCTCCCCAGGGGCGGACTGACCATTTGGAAACTCGGGCACTGCCCAAGGGCCCGGGGTCAGTAGGGGGACCCATGAGATGCCCCTGGTACCTTTTACATAGGCTTTTTTGAGTTTGGGCAAGGACACAGGGGCCCCATGATCTCCTATTGCCCGGGGGCCCCATGAGTTGTCAGTCTGCCCCTGACCACGGGTAACCCTAATGTGACCAAAATTGTGTATAAATAAATATCAGCTGCTGCAAACTACTTAGTGTAGGTCACCCCAAAAAAAGATATACAGTATGTATAAAAAATGTATTCTGCTGCTGGTTGATTGCAAACCAATCAAAAACTGAAAACCAACTGCTTCCCAATGTATTTTGTGTGTCTCTAAATTTGAAAATTTCAGCAGCACAATTTATACATAATGTGCTCATTCCAAAGCTATTGATACACTCATGTAACGACTAACCACTGCACCACTGGCTTATGCTGATTACTTCAAACCTTTCCACATGTACACATTGTACACCGAATGCAGGTCACAGGGACATGGGGCTGTGCTTTTCCCATAGCAGGATTGGGCCAACTGAGCACAACCTGCATAACTATAATCAGGGGAGGACTGACAGCTCATGGGGCCCCCGGGCAATAGGGGATAATGGGCCCCTGTATCCTTGACCACACTCAAAGCACACCCAAAAAAGCCTATAAAAAGGTACCAGGGGCATTTCATGGGGCCCCCTACTGACCCTGGACCCTCGGGCAGTGCCCGAGTGCTCTAATGGTCAGTCCGCCCCTGACTATAATTTCCTCAAGCTAAAATTGGTGGCACTGGTATGGGCCATAACGGAGAAGTTTGTGTAATATTTGTTGGAGGGACAGGCAAACATTTACACCGACAACAATCCTCTAGAATACCTAGAACTGCCAAACACAAAACTTTAATTACAAGCAGGTTATAGAGTAATGTTGATGCTCTGTCATGATATCCACAAGGGGGTATGGATCAACATCTGGAGGAATATGAGGTTGTCCTTTCTCAAACAGGGAATCCGGAAAGGGCAGCTACATTGGCTGTTCAGAATGGACTGCAAAAACAAAGTGTACATGAAATACTATACACTCTAGCAGAATGCATTGAAATGAAACATTGTGATCCTGACATCAAGGGACAGGCAAAAAAGTGAAATGGGCTATTATACCGATGGGCCCATATTCCCACTAAACAGTGACACAATTATCAGTTATTCATTCCCCAATCAACTGCTTTAGGATTCTGCCAGATACTGCATTACACCACTGGACATTTCTGTGCCAGTCATACTATGGCGTATGCCCGGAGGTACTTTTACTGCCCTGGGTTGTCATGATATGTGCAACAAGCTTGTCAGGGGTGCCAGAATTGTGCTCTTCATTAAGAACAGGCTGAGCAAACCACTCTTCTCATGATTACAATGGCTGAACCCCATGAGCTGTTGACCATTGACTTTCTGACTATAGCTGTCTGAGATTCTGTCTGTTCAAGTTCCTGATCTTGAATTCCAATTTTTTTTTGAGTTATTCCATTTGAAGGATGTGAGTTCTTTAATCAGACTCTGCTAGGCATAATTTGTACCCTGGATCAAGAGTATCATGATTGATGTCCGCAGCATGTAGGCAATGTGCTTTAGGCCTATAACCAAACAGCTTACAAAGCCACAGGCTATGTGTCCCATTTTCATTGTTCGGGCTAAACAACAATTTACCTGTGGATCTGTTCTTTCACACACTCAAATCTGTGCATGAACAATCACCTGATGAGTATGTGCAGAAGCATCCATGTGCCTAATAAAAGCTAAGTAGGTGGCAGTAGACTGATTGATTCATTTATTAACCCTTCAACCTAGGGATAGGTTTCTTGTTCATAATCCCAAATATGAGCAGATCAGTAAATTGAAGCCCAGATGGGAACTTTGTCCAAACCGCACTGAAAAGCAATACTTTCAAGATCATTCTGTGTATGATGTTATCTCAGAGGACCAGGAAGGGCTTTGGCAGTGGACATTGGAATCTGCTGCTATCTTGTGTCTTCAGTACAGACTGTCTTCCATCGTTCTCCACACTGGTTCAGGACTAAAAGACTTGCCCCCAATTCTGGAAGCTCCACTAGAGTGACATTTGCCATTCCTCTACTTCAGGAACATCATTTCCTTCTGTTGAGGATGCCCCATCTGTGAGTGACAATCAATTTTCATTTCAGGGGGTTCAGGATGAGCAGCCTTCCCCTGCTTCTGGAGCCTCAGATCCTTCTGTCATGGTTGCTCTATCTTCATGCAGGGAGGTGGATACTGTCCTGGGGCCCTCTTCCTATCAAGGGCTATCAGAAGACTTATGCCCACCAAATATTCTGAATATGTTTTGCAAAAAAGTTGTTGATATGTATGCTAGTTTTATTACTGTTTCTCATACTTTGTATGGTTGTTGTGACTCATTTCTTTCTGCCGTTTCTTCAAGTTGACCATTGAGGACTAATTTGTCTTCTTTTATGGGCTCTAGGCAGCTATCTTGGGGAGGTCCCAATTACCTATCCTGCAAGATGTGGGAGTCCATACTGATACAAAAGTGCTTAAATAACAGGTTCTACATCATTCAGTGCACTCACAGTGTGGGAGTAGCTCAGGGACAGTTTCTTCGTCTCCCATTGGCAAAGACTTTGGGGATCAAAGGGTGATAAAGTAAACTTATACCTTCACCAAGGTAAGTGCTCTTCAGGTGTTCTGTGATCTGGAAGCTCATGTTATATCACTACTGACAAAGTGCCTTGATTGTAAACATCACTTTTTCTGCCTGAAGAAGTGTATGGTGTGAAACATATGTATTTGCATTTGCTGAAAACTGACCTATTTTTGTGCTCATTCAAATCCTGCAGTTTAAATAATGTTTAAATATCCATATGGGTTGACTTCTCCCAATACTAGGGTACACACATGACCCCCATATCACTTAACCCATGAGGCTCCAGTCACATCTGGCCATTCTGTATCATGGGCAGAATCACAGCAATTCTTCCCGCGATCCCAAAATGCTTGCAAAAATGACAGATCGCACCACACGTTTTCAGGTACCATTCATTGCCCTGCAATCACGCAAACCGCATTGTGCGAAGCTTTTCACCTCAAAGAAGCTCCTGCTACTTTTTGTATGACAAGCTTCATATGATGTCGTTTGCCACATTTTATTGTGTGACAATAGTAGCTGGGTGCTTTGTGGGGGGAGCCATCCCTACCCCAAAGCACTCCCCCCCCATGTTGAAGGCATGTGGCCTGGTCCTTGCTCCCCCCCCCCCCTTTCCTGGCCTGTGCCATTTCCTGCCTTATTGGCTCTCACTGCTGTCAATCACAACCAGTGAGCCAATGAGAATAGAGAGGGGGCGGGACCGAGTGGCAGCTCTGTGTGTGAATGGACATATGGAGCAGTGGCACAAGAGGGAGGGGCCAGGAGAGTCACTGAGGGACCTAAGAAGAGGAGAATCTGGGATGGAAAACCACTGCACACAGCAGGTAAGTATGGACATGTTTGTTATTTTTAAAAAGAAACCTTTAGAATCACTTTAAAGTCATACATGTGTCACAGAATATATTTGCATGTTAAAGTCAACCAGCATGAACACAATAATAAATACACAATTAGCCTATGAATACACAATCCGAGCATATACTGTGACCCTAAGGGCATAAACAGTAGACTTCCATATGTAATAAATCGCCCCATGTAGCCAATAAAGTAACAACGTGAATCAACTACTTGAGAGCTCTAAAACAATGGGGCTAAATTTAGGCCTGAGAGATTAAGGTTTAAAGCTAAAGCATAAAGTAATCTGAGTATACTGTAGTCTTGGAGGTGAATCTTCTGCTGGCTAAGTTGGGGCTCTTTGAAAACTTTGGGGCGCACAAAGATAAGGGGAGTGTCTTTAGACTGGGTTTTACAGTACAGTAACCTGAGAGGTTGGCTTTAGCAAGGGGAGAATCTTTAGATGCAGCAGTTAGATAGTAGGTTGTGTGCAGTATCAGCATTCTGGGGAGCAAGGCAGGTAACTTGGCTCTAGCCTCTAGCCTTGGGACTAGCCTCGCAAAAATATGAGCAGTTAGCACAACAGTGGGTGCAGGCTTATATCTGCAATTATTTGAAAATGAGGACTGACATGTAAAAAAGTGCCTTGGTGTTTTACTCCTGCTGTTTATTTATTTTTTTTTATTTATTTATTTCAGGTGCTTATATAGCATCGTCAATTTACGCAGCGCTTTACATATATATATATTCTACATTCACATCAGTCCCTAACCCTCAAGGGGTGTACAATCTAAGGTCCTTAACTCACATTCATACGTACACATACTAGGGCCAATTTAGACAGGATTCAATTATCCTACCAACATGTCTTTGGAGTGTTTCCCAGCGGGATTGAGCGATGGCGGCCTGGGTCATGGACTGGTGTCTCAAAGTAGGCACTGGAGCAGCTGATGGTGCAGCAGACTCAGCTAGGTCTAGCCACCTGATTCAGGATACAGCAAAACTAACCACAACGCAGCTCAACATAGCACAGCACTTCTTCCCCCATACTGTCTCTGGTTAGCGCGCTGCCCAACTGCCCCACTCATTCCTGGGCTTTTCCTTTTTATCAGACCCCTCCTGCTCTCAGGTATCACTGGGTATTTTAGTTGGTTTCCCAGTGACGGACATGGCTCAGATACTTCTCCAGACTAGATCTCTAAGAGTGCCACAGCCTAAGGTCTTGCCATCTTGTGGAAGAAAAAGAGTTCTTCAGACAGTAACATAACCTTCTGTTACAAAAGCGTGCTCTTATCTGCTGTCCATAAGGGTCACTTTACCATGGTTCTGGGACTCCAAAATGCTTTATTATTTCCTAAATTTGTGGATCCAAAAATGTATTTTGGGACCTAACTTTGGGACTCCAAATCTTGGTTACGCTCCATAGAAATATACAGTTGCAAGAAAAAGTATGTGAACCCCTTGGGATTACGTGGAGTTTTGCATGAATTGGGCATAAAATGTGCTCTGAACGTCATCTAAGTCACAACAATAGAAGAACACAGTCTGCTGAACATAATACTACACAAACATTAGATGTTGCCATGGTTTAATTGCACATAACATGTACACATTCACAGTGCAGGGAGGAAAAAGTATGTGAGGCCCTAGCTGAATGACTTCTCCCAGAGCTAATTGGAGCCAGGAGTGAGCCAACCTTGACTCCAATCAGTGTGATGATATTGGAAGTGTTGCTGACAGCTGTCCTGCCCTTAAAAAACACACACCTGTTTTGGGTTTACTGGTTTCAAGAAGCACTGTGTGATGTGAACCATGCCTTGCAGAAAAGAGCTCTCAGAAGACCTACGATCCAGAATTGTTGACTTGCATGAAGCTGGAAAGGGTTACAAAAGTATCTCCAAAAGCCTTGATGTTCATGTGTCCACGGTAAAACAGACTGTCTACAAATGGAGAAAGTTTAGCACTGTTGCTACTCTCCCTAGGCGCGGTCGTCCTGTAAAAATGACTGCAAGAGCACAGCGCAGAATGCTGCATGAGGTAAAGAAGAACCCCAGAGTGTCAGCTAAAGACCTACAGAAATCTCTGGCACATGCTAACATTTTTGTTGACACATCTACAATAAGGAAAACATTAAACAAGAATGGAGTACATGGGAG